TATCGTTTCAATGTCAATGGATCTCTGTCTAATTTGTTTCAGGCTCAAAGGGGCATAAGGCAAGGGGACCCCATTTCCCCTTACCTTTTTGTCATCACCATGGAATACATGCACATATGCCTCCACCAGATGCAAATGAACCCCAATTTTAATCATCACCCTAAGTGTGAAAAACTCCAGATTACAAATCTTGCCTTTGCTGATGACTTGCTTCTTTTTTCTAGAGGTGATATTGGATCTTTATCTTTGATGATGCAAGCTTTCAACCGGTTTTCTCGTTCTACAAGTATGAAAGTTAACCCTCTTAAAAGCAAAATATACTTTGGAGCTGTGGATTTTGATACTAAACAACAAGTGCTCCATTTGACTAAATTCCTTGAAGGGAGCCTCCCAGTCAGATATTTGGGGGTGCCTCTCTCTTCTAAGAAGTTGGCTGTAAAATATTACCTGCCCCTTATTGATGAGATTGTCAGTAGGATTAGGCATTGATCTTCCCAATTATTGAGTGCAGCTAGTAGACTTCAACTCCTCAAATCTGTTATTTTTGCTATGAATAATTTTTGGTTCACTTGTTTCTCTATGCCTAAAGTGGTGCTGCAAAAGATTAATACTATTTGCAGATCGTTCTTCTGGGATGGTACAGACAGTGTAAGTAGGAAGAGTCCTGTGGCCTGGAAACAAGTCTGTAGCCCCAAGAAAAATGGTGGTCTTGGTTTAATTGACTTGTTTATCTGGAATGAAGTAGCTATGCTTAAATTGCTGTGGAATCTCTGTGCTAAAAAAGATAATTTGTGGGTTAGATGGATACACTCCGATTATATGAAGAATGATGATATCATGGAATGTAAGATTACATATAATGGCACTTGGATAATGAAACAGGTTATGGTGAAAAGAGAGTATATTCAAGATATTCAGACCCTTTGGGAGGCCATGTTGTGTGCTGGTAAATTTTCTATGAAATCTGTGTATTCCCAGTTGAGAAGCAATGAGCCGGTGGTCAGTTGGAAGTCTCTCATCTACAAAAACTCTGCTAGGCCTAGAGATGTTATCACATTATGGTTGGCCTGTCATCGCAAGTTAGCTACAAAGGAGAGGCTTGTTAGGTTCGGTTTTATTATAGATTCTATGTGCTGCTTTTGTTCTAGTATTGAAGATATCAATCATATTTTATTTGAGTGTATTGGTTTGAGACAATTTTGGATTGATGTGCTTAATTGGATTAATGTTAATCATACCCCGAAGTCTTGGAATGAGGAATTGCCATGAATTATTGAGAAATGTAAGGGCAAAGGTTGGAGGTGCACTTTGTTTAAGCTTGCTATCACGGAGACGGTCTATGAAATTTGGTTGTATCGAAATAAAGTTTGCTTTGGGGAGAAAGTAGAATACTTGCAAGCCTTAAGACATATTATGGATAACATCATCTTTAGGGGATGACATAGTAGTATTCCCAAAAAATATATTGTTTCCCTTATGATGTAATAGGTTAACATATGATTTCTCTTGACATTGTGGGTTTGATCGTTTTGAGATCACCTTGTATCTGTGGTTTATTATAATCAAAGTTTGACATGTTAAAAAAAAAAGTAAGTATATTATTTTTTTAAATAAGTAAGTATACTATTCTTTTATATAAATTAAATATATTATGTTTTATTTATACTAAATATTTAAATTACATATAAGCTAACTATACTGTTTTTTTTATAAACTAAATATATTAATATTATATAGATTAACTATATATTTAACATATTTTATATAAATTAAATATACCTTTTTTATATAAACTAAATATATATTATTTTCCAAAATAACTAAGAAAATTATTTATAAACTAAATATACTGTTTTTTTTATATAAATTAAATATATTATGTTTTATTTAAACTAATTACTTACTAAATATACTAAGTATTTAAATTAGATATAAATTAAATATATATTGTTTTTCTATAAACTAAATATACTATTACTTAGATTAATTAAATATTTATTAAATTTTTTATAAATTAAATATAATTTTTTTAATATAAACTAAATATATAATATTTTTCAAAATAATTAAGTATATACTATTTATAATCTAAATAAACTGTTTTTTATATAAATTAAATATATTATGTTTTATTTCAACTAAATATTTACTAAATATACTAAATACTTAAATTAGATATAAATTAAATATATTATTTTTTATATAAACTAAATATATTATTATTTAGATTAATTAAATATTTAGTATTTTTTATATAAATTTTGGTATTTTTTTATATAAATTAAATATATATTTTTATATAAACTGTTTTTATGATATATAATTATAAACTATTTAATATAATTAAATATATAAACTATTTTAATATAATAAAATATATAATATATAATATATTTTAGAATAAAAAATTTAATATATATAAACTGTTTTAATAATCTATTTAATATAATAAAATATATAATATATAATATATTTTCGGAATAAAAAATATATAATATATAAACTATTTTAATATACTATTTAATATAATAAATATATTTTATATAATATATTTTCGAAATAAAAAAATATAATATATAAACTGTTTTAATATATTTTTAGAATAAAAAAATATAAAATATATATTGTATTTTCAGAATAACAATTAACTAAATCTAACATATAAAATTATATCAACTAAATCTAATACACATCTAAACCAATTTAATTTACCTAAATATAATATATAATTCAGAAAAAATTTCAATAAAAAAATAAAATAAATTACATACTTTGAAGCTTTATTAAACAAAACTAGTGTTGATGGAGAAAAATATAATAATACCTACGAATTTAATCCAACAAAAATTAGAATTTATAAATTAATATAAAAATATATATCTCAAATAACATATAGAAATAATTTTATTACCTTTGAAATAAAAAATTAAAGCTTTCAATAGAGTAAAATGGAGGATTAATGGAGGAAAAAAATGAAGGAAAAGAGGAGGTTGAGAGAGTTGCAGAGAAGAAAGAAGAAGAAATTGGGAGACTGTATGAAAGAAATGGAAGAGAAAGAGGAAAATATAGTGCGCAAACGGTACCAAACTTTGCTTGGGGTTAGCTCTTCGCTAAGTGCCAAACAATACCATAATTAGCTTGGGGCTAGCTCCTCGCTAGGTGATAACAATTGTTGTTTCACCGCAACACGCAAGCTGGTTCAGAGGCGTAGCAGTGATGTGAAAAAGGGCTTGGGGTTAGCCCATCGCAAAACTACTTATTTGCTGGCGAGGTGATGACCCCTCGCAAATGGCCAACGATTATTTTTAATGGCGAGGTGATGCCCCCTCGCTAAATATTTTTTCTTTTTCCCACGTGCCACCCCCTCACAAGCATCCAATAGATTTATTTTCAAACCCCCTCCTAAAATTTAGTTACGGGAAGCTCCAAATTTTAATTTTTTTTTAATATTATTTAGACAGAGGATAATTCCAAACTAATGTTAAATTTAGCTAAGGGCTTAATCCCTAACCATTTGTCCCAAACTAAATCAGATTATTCTTATAATGTTAATATAATAATATTTTAAATTATATAAGTTATAATTAATGACACACATTACTCTGTAAAACCATTTAACCCATAAAATTATTATTAATTGATTTATTAATAAATTATTATAAATAAAAAAGAAAAACATGCATTTTTTTGATGTTTTATTATTCCTATAATTTTAATTCTATTAAAAATAAAATAATTTTTTTTAATAAATAACTATTTTAATTATATATATTTCAATAAATAAATATATACTTTTTTTAATATTTAAATCAATATTTTTTTACATAATCTCTATGTGTACCTTTTATTTGCGTCATTTAAATTATTATAACACTGAAGTTAGTTTTTTAAAGATATTAAAAGATAATGTTAAATACAATTAACTATCATTTTTAGTGGTTGTAATAAAATTTGAAGATGGATAAGAAACTTTCAAGTTCTAGGTCATTCTCACTAATTGCTCTCTCAAAGCACAAAAGACTCTTGTAGTCAAGTTTTCTTCAAAGTTATCATACAAAATAGCAAACTTTAATAAATAAATGCATTATATGTAATGTATATTATCATACTAATATCTTAATTAAAAAAAAAACTATATATTGAATGTGTACAAGATATAACTTCTCACAATTGCATATCATCCAAAAAAAAAGTGTTAGATAATATTATTGTTTATTTACTTTTTTTTATTAATCTTGTAAATACCACAGCTGGATTTTAGATAATTATATTTTATATCTTTGTGGAATCAGTTATTTATTATGCTTAAAATATTTGTGCGTTTAGTGGATCAGATCCGCTCCATTAATGAAAATATAAAAAATTATTTTTTTCTTTTGTTTTATTTAACAATGGTAAATAGATATGTCCGTCTTGTTTAGATCTGTTCTACAAAAATTCATAAGAAAAATGGGATGGAACGCGACAGATATAATTAAGGATAAGAGTCTAAAATCTAAATCTATTTTGCAAAAAAATAAGTGTGAATCGGAGAAAACCCGCGGACATCGTATCTTTTAAATCTAAAAATATGAAATTTTATGTTAAACGTGTCCGCAAAAACCTATAAAAAATAGAGCGGAACAGAACGATCATGTTAGAGAATGAACGCCTGAATTCTTGACTTGTCCTACATTAAAATACAGAGAAAACAAATATATTCAACAAATCGAACTCATTTTACCTCCCTATTCTTTAATGTCATCATTGTAATTTTTGTTGTTCAATGGATATCACCTAACATGCTATCACAAGAGAAAAATATGATATTATGTAAAAAAAAAAGAAAAAAAAAAAGAAAAATTTGATATTTTCTATTATATCTTTAACCATCATTAATTTAAAATAGTTTGAAACAGTCAACACGTCTCTTCAATCTTTGTTATCTACTATCCTGCCACTAAAATACAAGGCTAGCAAACTTTCTATATTACCCTTGCTTTATAAAATAATTTCCAAAGTAAAAAGGATAGTTTTATCACTTTTTAAACCAATCAATTTTATACAAAGGATAGTTTTATCACTTTTTAAACCAATCAATTTTATACACTTCAAACCCTCCTTATCTTTCCAATTTTTATACACTTCTCACCCTCTCAACTCTACTATATCTTTTCTATCTTCTCCTCTTTTCCTTTCCCCTGAAACCCTATCAATGTCGCCGCCAACAACTTCTCTCTCTCAAAAACTCTCGCGTTCCAGAACAGGAGAAGGTGGAAACCTTAAACCCCTCAAAATCATCTCAATAATGCAAAGATGCTGCCATGTGAGGTATACAGACTTACCTATCTGCTTTTCAAACCTGCCTCTTTTATATTCAGTTTTTATTTCCCATGCTTATATAAAGTTTGTGTCTACATCAACTTGATATTTTGCTTCAGACACTATGCACTTCAACTCATCTTGACTTAACCATTATGTATATCAGTTGAACATGGTTCCTGAATGAATGACAACATTATTTCTTCATTGAATCTTTTATTTTATTTTATTTCAGTGCTTGATTTTATTAACAGGGTGGATAAATCCGTTGAGCATAAATGAGATTTATTTCTGTAAGCAGGCTTCAGTTTTTGTCCAGTCTCATGTTCGTGCACATGTAGAATTGATGTGGCTGCTAAGTACCATAACTCCAACCGGCTGGCATTTATACCTGTAAGTATTTCTAATTTTCATATTTGATAAGTTCCAACGATATTAACAATAAAAAGTCGATAAGTACAACAAAAAAAATATATAAAAATCGATTTAAATCACTTCATAAACTGGTATGCGGGGCATAATCAATTAGATTCAAACAAAAGAATGCATAAGTATTATTCTCATAGTGTATTTAGTACAATTGTGATGTACAAGACAATTTTAACATGTGTGGTCTATTCAACTGAATTTTTTTTTTAGTACAATTGTGATGTACAAGACAATTTTAACATGTGTGGTCTATTCAACTGAATTTTCTTTTTGAAATATTCTTACACTTTGAAATTATTTTAATACTTATTACATACTATCTATTTGAAAACCAACTACCTTTCCTAAATACAACATACATACCTTTATTCTAACTAGCTCTAATTGAAAGCATAATTTCTATAACTATGTTTTATACTTTTCTTCCTCTTCAATACTGATGTACTGTATTTTGTCTCATTCTTTCCACATGTCAAATCTCAGCATTAAATGGAAACATAGTTTTGGAGTCTATCGCCATATGAATATACAATATAATAATGTAAGCTTGTTTCAATTTGTTTGGAAACCGTATTAAAGACTATTCGTCCATCCAATAGGTAGAACCTCGTATTTTTTTTTTTGTATCTCAACCTACTTTTTAATCATTGAAATAAAAACTGTTTTGTTTTTAAATAAAGCTACTCAATATGTATTGCATAATCTTGAAAAATCATAACACTAGGGGTCAACTTTTGACAGAATATTATATATAATTACAAATTCTTTCCAGATCAAAGCAATCGAAATTTTATTATATCAACTTTTTCCAAAACTTTAAACATGCTACAGAGTGAAGTTGTACAACACCATTATTCATCAGTCGTTAATGTTATCTGCACAAACCCAATATTCATAGTTTAACAACCTATGTTGCTCACCTTTATAAATGTTTCATATGTAGCTTTGTGAATAGTTGGTTTCCACTCTAATTTAAATCCATGGCACATTTTCGGATTGTGTGTTGTTGCAAGAACAAAATAAATTGCTTAACAACCTTTATGGCAAATCTCTATGAATGTTTCTTAGGTAGCTTGAACATTTTAGTTTCCTGTCTAATTCAAATTCATATCACAATATATTTTTGTTTTCTGTTACAAACACTTAATTTTTAGTTCACTTAGCACTCTAAATTCACTTATATTTACACAATATTGGCACAAATGACATGCTTATAGGTGTTATGATATCACTCATTTGCACTTGTTTCTAATGTTTAAAATATGCTTGCAATACATCATGAAGTGGAATGAAACACAACTTATAAGATCTAGATAAAAAATAATATAAATATAACTCTTAATATACATTTGAATACAAATATATTGTACAAAATAATTTTAATCCTTGTAGTGCACGAGTTTTTGGAATTTTTTTTTTAATCAAGTATTAAATTTTTTTTTCCGCAAATAACCACGTTTCGAAAAAAATTACCCAAATAACCATGTTTCAGATGACTCTCCAAAGGAGGAGCCATCTCACTTGGCGCCTCCTCTCTCTTTTAGCCAAGTGAGATGGCGCATGCACTTTAAAAGTGAGAGGGGGCGCCATCTCACTTGACTCCTAGGACAAAATCCTGTTTTTATAAATAATTCGTCCGTTTCTCCGTCATTTCTCACACTTTCTCGCACTGTTTTCTTATTTTTTTACTCTGTTATTTGCGTCATGACATCGCCAATGATTTTTATCAGAGATGATTATGTTATTTTCTCTGCCACGAAACCTGCGATGAAAATGAAATTCTAGTACATTCACTCCATGGAGCGTCTGAAGCGGGAGTTGATGCGATGGCTAGATGGAGATATTGTGGAGGGGGAAAAATTCGAAAGATCCAGCGAAGACGAACAACAACCTCACATGCGACTGAAAGACCTAATGTATGGTTGGAGGAAGTCAAAACAGACAACGACGTAATGTTGATGATGTATGGGTCAGATGAAATTGTTTTAACAGTTGTAATTTCATAGACGGAATATCATGTTTATTTTCTTGTACGCGCAATATTTATTGTAGCAAATACTATTAACGAAAAACCTTAATGTTTACAACATAATTAGGGAAGGATTTAATGTATTACAATTTTTATGTGGTCGAGGTAGACGCCCGATTCGGACAATTTTTTGCGATTGTGTCCGACCTGACGGCATAAACCACACTTTCTTTCCAGCTTGTCAAGGTCGTCCATTTCGATTGTGATGCGCTTACTTTTGGGACGATCCTTCTTGTTCCTTCACATTTGGTCATTGTGCCACACTATTTCGCCGTCGTATGCAGGGCAATAATCTGGTTTTGCTACCAAAGGAAAGCTGTTCTTGTAAACGTTGAGCAACATTTCAGATTTGTAAATGTGTGACAGAAGTTGTAGCGCGTCTTGATGGATATAACCACAAGCGGCAATGACATGAGAGCAAGGCATGCAAAATGCTTGAAACTTGCTACAATCGCACTAACGAGTGGTAATAAATGATATAACTTGATGACTTACTTTGTTGCGTACGGGAAAACAAATGTGTTGTTGTTGACGGGGTTTAAGGACTCCATCCTCCACCAGCCCTAGACTTGAAGTAAAAAAGCGCAACCATAAAATGTACATTTTTTCTTGACTGCATTTTTGCACAAGGAACTGTATAGGTGGGCTAAAACTGCAGAACCCCAACTATACTTTCTTGTTTTTTCAAAATCTCTAAGTAAATATAAATACATAAAATTTACACTATTTCCCGTACTTTTGGGAAATAAATAGGTTCCCAATAGTATCATTAGATAAGTTCTAGCTTTTATTACCCTGTCTTGCTCGGATGAATTTTCGTTTAATTTCCAAACTTGCATAATGATTTTTAAGCTCAGTGAGTACTATACCCTGACCTCTCGCACCACCACCTTCAACCATATCCCTGCCCAACAATTCTTCACACTGAGAATTGGGTTGTTGAACCGACCCGTTAACGGTCTTACCATCGACAGGAAGACCCAGTAACATGTACACATCCTCTAGCGTGACAGTAAATTCACCTATTAGTAGGTGAAATGTATGGGTCTCTGGTCTCCACCTTTCCAACATTGCAAGAATGAACTTTGAATAAATGGTGCAATTGGAGATCTTTATAACATTTCTGAAACCTGCGTATTCTAGATATGGTACGATAAATGGGTCGGGAGCCAGGTAGTTGTGAGACCGGATTCTGAATCTTTTGGTATCCTGAGTTAATAATGTAAAAGGCACTACTACGAAAATGGGCTTTCACAGCGCTTTTTTTTGCCCTTTAAAAGCGCTTAAAAGCGCTGCCGTAGCCAGCGCTGGCGTAGGCTACGAAAACGCTTTTTTCTGGCCAAAAGCGCTGTCGTAGGTGGACCTATCCCAGCGCTTTTTCCTTAAAAAGCGCTTTGATAGGGGGGTCTTTCCCAGCGCTTTTTGAAAAGCGCTTTGATAGGTGTGTGTGATCGGTGGATCTGGAACTGACTGTTTAACGCTGGTTCGCGAAATGTCGCGGAAGCAAGAGTCGCCACCGTCTTTTATTTTCTCCAATTGGAAAGGACAAAAGCACAGAAAAATTCCTTAAAGAGATCGCTCTCGGTTCGGGAGGTAGGTTATAGAAAGGGCAGGTGTTAGCACCCTTTCTATCCATGGTTATCCATGGGCTCTTAGATACTTGCTCATTTGTGTTTTCAAAATGGTTTGTTTGCTTTTCAATGTGGGTTTAAAAAAAGTTTCTTTGAAAAATTTCAGTTCGACTCGTACGTCAGAGTGTTTGAAAAATTTGCTTTGAAAGCTTTTGTTGGTGTGAAAAGTCTTTTTGAGTTTGTTTTGAGATTAGAGCAAGTATCCTTGAGAACCTACCTACCCTAAGGAATTTGTCTGTGTAAATGTCCTTAAAAGTAGTGCCATCCCACCATTGAGAGGTAGGTAGCACCACCGTTGGAGGTATTCGGGTCAATTCGAGTTTTAGGGACATGGTAATCACCGGAGCAATGGGAAGACACCTTAGAAGCTACCCTCATGCCAGGTTCCCGGATCATGAGGACTTACTAAGACGTCCTCTACTCGACGATCACCTTTCGAGGCAACAGTGAGGCGTACCCTAGGGGTGGTGTGTGCGATTTGTGTGTCGTTTTCATTGATAATTTGTCTTGTCATGTTTGTTGTGATCTACGCTTGAGTTTATTTTAAGTCCATACATTCTTTCATGCTTATTTAACAGTTAATATTTGCGATGAAAATAAATCTAAGGCTATTACAACTGGCGCGGGTCCACATCGCCAAAATTAAACCGGACCCGATTTGACGGAAAGATAAATAAAGTGAATGAAAGAAAAGTGCGAGAAGTTTAAGTTACATGGCTTCGGGACAGATACATAACCATTTAAGCGAAATAAAATAAATACGAAATTAAATAAATTAAACAATATGGGCGTTGGACCTTTTTGCAAAAATTAATGTCAATGAGGAATTAAAATTAAAAATTAAAAAGAAAATGTTTTTGGTGTTTTTATGTTTTTAGATTTAATAGAAAAAAGAGAATTAATTATAATGAAAATAAAATGTCAAACCCTACTTCTAATTATTTTTTAGTTGTTATGAAAATGTTAAATTAACCTAAATTAAACCTAAATTATTTATGTACAATTTAATTATGAAAATAAATAAATAATATTATGATGAAAAGAAAATTAAAAGGAACAAAATTTATTAAACCTAGTCCTATGTTTTTTAGATTTTTAGTTATTAAAAGAAATTAAAGTTGTAACCTAATTAATACTAAATTTATTTACAAGCATTTATTTAGAAAAATAATTAAAATAAGATAATTATTAAATTTTGTCTTTTCTGATTTTTTTTATGATGTTTTTGTATTTTGTTAAAAAAAACAATTAATTAAATTAAGACAACAAAACAAATAAACAAATAATTGAAAATAAAAGAAAACATAAAGAAAATTAAAAAAACATTGCAAACCAGGGGGGGGGTTCAGGCCCCAGATGTGAGGTATGGACTTAGGAAATCAGGCCCAATGCTTCAGGTCCATTGACTTTTGCCACTAGCGTGTTAACCCTTTGACCAGGCTTATGATGTACATCCAATCTCAGCCTTTGATTGGAATTTGTTAGATACGTGGATGGACGGATGATGAAGGCATATGGTGAACCATAGCGCTGAAGTTGCATGGGAGCATTTTATGAAGAAAAATATGAAGGAAAGTAAGGACCTGGGTCTCGAACCCAGGTCATGTGGATTGCCAACACACCTAATTGCCACTGGACCATTACCACGCGTTTGTTAACTAAATATACAATGAATAATATAATACAAAACAATGCATCAGTGGCTAAAAGCGCGAAAAATTCAAATTATCCAACCAATGCACGCCACTTCATCGTCTTCCTCAAGATTTCGTTTTGCCTGAAAAATAGAGAAAGGTTAACGGGGGTTTTGAACCCCCTCAAAACAAGCCAAATTCCATAATAGCGATTAGGCCCTCATTGAACATAAATTAGGCGCGAGGGTTGTATATTGACCATCCAATCGCGTTGATTTTTTTTATGGTACTGATGAGTCTCAATTTTACAGCATTATGAAATGCCCAAATCAAAGCTCGTGAAACCCTAGAACATAACCATGGCAAATCTGTATATGGCGCATGAAAACTCAATTAAACATGATGGTTAGTCTCAAAACATCATAAGGAACATGAATATACAATTAAAATGCAATGAGGATGCCTGGAAATCAAAATACGATCATGGACTTTTCTTGGTACAGTTTGAGTTCGTTTTACCAATTCTTTGCGTTTGAGTTGATGGTAGGGATTGGAATACGTTCAGGGATTGCCAAGGAAGCTATTAGACTAGGTTTTGTGCCCTGAAACACCCTGCAATATCGTTTTCAGTTTTGAAATTTTTTGATGATTTTTAAGTTTTGCAATCTGTTCTAGAGCGCAGCTTTCAGTCTAATGCAATTAGGTTTATGTTCCTGGTTATGTAGTGGATGAATTAGGTTAAAAAGATTGATCAAAATCCATTGCTTTTATTGTTTTCAATATTTGATTTCTTAAGAATCCTTTTCATATCTTTTCACATGGTTTTTGTATCAATTAGGTTTCAATCAAGCCAAATCTTTCCATAATTGGCTAAGCACGAAATATCAAGTCTAAAACATGTATAAAAAGATTCATTTGGTTCATTTAGATATTTTCCACATATTTAATTGATTTAATTGAATTAATATGAATAAAAATTCAAATAAATAAATAAAAAATGAGAAAATACTTCCCTTTGGGCCAAGTGGTCGTGCATATGTTTGGAATGATGAATCATGGAAGAAAAATGGGCCCATTAGCAATTTTGAATCATTTGCATCAATGTTGACTTTTCAAAATTCCTAAAAATTTCCCAACTTCCACAAGGCATAACTTGCTCAATTTTTAAGCTCTTCTCATGTTCTTGGACATTTTGGAAAGGTCTTTGAGTCCTCTAACCAATGCCTTTGGTCCCATGTCATTTTGATTTACCAATCTCAAGTTATGGCCTTTGACTTAAAGTCCCTTTTTGTTGACTTTTGAAAATGACCTATAATGTTGAAATTGATAACTTTTTGTGAGAGCATTTCTTGGACTTGAAGTATGAAGATGAGTTGTAGGAAATGTCTTTCTCTTCAAAATGAGCTTTGGATGGAATTTTTCTGATAATCCATGTGAAAGTTATGCCCTGGTCAATTTCAGTTGACTTTTTCAACTGTCCAAATATAGTAACTTTTGCATCTTTGATGATTTCTGAGCCAAATTTTGAGAATCATGATCAAGCATTGATCAAATGATGTTTGTGGCTTCAAAATGATATGTTGACCAAAAATTTGAACTTTTGACTGTCAAATGACCATTTTGCCCCTACAGTTGACTGTAGTGCAATTTAGGGTTTTGACTGTGCAATTTTGAGCTGAATGCCTTGAAACTTGATATGAGGATGCTTGACCACATTTGTAGGCACATGAGACTTGATTGGGCCTTTGGAAACTTCCTTTTCTTGATCAGAACACAAACCCTAGTTTTGACTGTATAGGAGACAGTTGCACTGTGCAACCCTTGGGGCATTTTGTGACTTGGCTTGGCAATTTCTTGAAGAATATGGGAGGGCAAATTTTGGGGTACAACAGTTGCCCCTGTTCAATCTTCTTAGACTTGAGGATGCAGATTGGCTGACGTGCCTTTCGTAATCCGAGGGTAGAAGATGATTGGACACCAGAGTGCCCAGAAATTTGCGCTCACATGATAGCAGTGTGGTGGAATGGGCTTACAGATGCCATTTAGAGGTTGCTGGATTAGGATGATGGGCTTATAGATGCCATCTGGATGTAGATCGCGTAGGAGATTCCTTAGCGAGAACATGCATACCTGCAAATAGAAACACATGAATACCTGACACGTTGCAGGAGCTGATTTTTAGATGCTTGGTGTAGATGTCCTGACTGGTCACAGGAGCTGAGTCTGGAGCTTCAAACAGTGATGAATGAACCAGGGATGGTTACTGCCTTAGCATGAACGGTAAGAGAACCTTGGGTGATTTTAATTTTAACAACGCTCGTTGAGAAAATCTTGGTGGGAAATACCATCTTCGCAGGATCGGAACTAGAACCATAGGCCATTATAATCTGAAAGGGAATCACCTCACTTGCCGTTGGAGAGGGGATCATAGGAAAAGGAATTGTCACCTCACACACCGTCGGAGAGGGAATCATAGGAAAAGGGATTGTCACCTCACACTCATCGTCGGAGAGGGAAACATCTGAAAAGGGATTGTCACCTCACACTCATCGTCGGAGAGGGCAACCTCTGAAAAGGACTTACCACCTCACACACCGTCGGAGAGGGAACCATAGGAGACTATCACCTCACACTCATCGTCGGAGAGGGAAACATCTGAAAAGGACTTACCACCTCACACACCGTCGGAGAGGGAACCATAGAAGACTATCACCTCACACTCATCGTCGGAGAGGGAAACATCTGAAAAGGACTTACCACCTCACACACCGTCGGAGAGGGAACCATAGAAGACTATCACCTCACACTCATCGTCGGAGAGGGAAACATCTGAAAAGGACTTACCACCTCACACACCGTCGGAGAGGGAACCATAGAAGACTATCACCTCACACTCATCGTCGGAGAGGGAAACATCTGAAAAGGACTTACCACCTCACACACCGTCGGAGAGGGAACCATAAAAGACTATCACCTCACACTCATCGTCGGAGAGGGAAACATCTTAAAAAAGGAATTACCACCTCACGCACTTGCCGGAGAGGGGACCATAAGGAGATTATCACCTCACACTCATCGTCGGAGAGGGAAACATCTGAAGAAGGAATTACCACCTCACGCACTTGTCGGAGAGGGGACCATAAGAGATTATCACCTCACACTCATCGTCGGAGAGGGAAACATCTGAAGAAGGAATTACCACCTCACGCACTTGTCGGAGAGGGGACCATAAGGAGATTATCACCTCACACTCATCGTCGGAGAGGGAAACATCTGAAGAAGGAATTACCACCTCACACACTTGCCGGAGAGGGGACCATAACTTCTGCTGAGTCTTTATCAGAAAAATCTGTTGGGAGTCGATTTAGCTGAACTAGAGAAGGCTTTGAAATATGTTTGAGCATTTTAACTGCGTCTTTCCTGAAAGGTAAGGTCAGTCATATGCAATGCATGCTATGGATCAAGCAATGATGTTCTCAACATAAATGAGATTTGTATGATGCGTTTATGCATGCTATAATGATGTATATGATGTTTTATGAATGTTTTCGTCTAGGAAAGTAAATCTTTGACGGGTGCCGGGAAGTCATATCCTGGGCTGATGTTGGAGAATAAGCTTTTGCTTCCGTTGGGGATGATAACTGCAAGAATACCAGTAGGAGAAGGTGACTCCGTTGAGGAATAAATTTGGCAAATGGGAGATTCTGTGGGGAGAAAAGATACTCTAGCGACCATGCTGGGAAGCAATACTCTGTGGGAAGAGGGATGCCTTGCTGCGTGTAGATAATAGTTTGCTGGGGATACCCTTGTTGTTGGAAGTGTTGATGGACTTCGCTGGGGTAAGAAGACTTCGTCGAGGACGCTCTTTCCGTGGCTTTTGGCTGAGGATAACCCAGTTATATCCTGTTAAGGAAATAACTCTTTAAATCAAGCCGGACGACGCGTTCGTGCTCTGCGAAGGATAAGCTTCCAGAATTTACTGGGGATAAGCTTACTGCTTGGGGAGATATGAATTCCAACTTTCCTGGGGAAACTAATTGGACTCTCCTGGGGAGTTTTGATATGCTGGGGAAGTGATTCCTTTGAATGTTGGTATGCCGCCGGGGAACGATCTTTAAGCCAAGACTGCCGGGGATGCTTGTTAAGAATATATGCTGCTGTTGGGGAAGTATTGAGATCTATTGGAGGATACTCAATTTCCTTAAGATTGATTGTATAGCTTTATTTGGAGAGAGTATACTGACTCATTCTCTGGGGAATTAAGACATCTGGTTATATTCTTCGACTGAACCTGCTTTGGTACCTTGGAGGACCGAACAATCATATTGTCTAGACAACCCTTTATTGCCCCTGTTTCTGATGTGGGAGAGGAAGACCTGTGAGGTGCTTGATAGTTGCTGATGGACAAACCTTCTTCTAGTAGGCAGGTGACAAGAAGACGGGACATAGTCGTACGCTTTAATCCCTAACTTTTGCCTGGACCGCCCTTTCGGGTTTTCGGTCCACCGGGATACCCATTTTTGCCCCAGCCGCCTTTTCAGGTTTTCGACTTGCCGGGTGTACAGATTTTTCATTTTCATCCCTTATTTTTGCCCGAACCCTTTTGGTTCGCCGGGAAGCCCTGATTTTTGCCTAGGTATGTCAACCTAGCGGGTCTTTGATTTTGCATAGTATCTTTTCGACTATGTCCATGCTCTTAGAATGTAGGGAGTTGCCCCTGTTAGAAGTGTTTTGCCATGCCACCAGAAGGTGTTTGATCAGGCCAGATTTGAAATGCCCCAAGTGACTCAGGCGGAGATTTGCCCCAGGCTATTTGGCCTTTTGAGAGAATCTCCGAATCTTGATTGGATTGCCCCAGATAATGGACCAAGATCAGGTCTGCCCCTTGATTGGAAGTGCTTTTGCTCACTAGGTATTCTTCGTACGAATTTTCCTGCTGTTCAAACAAATATTCATATGCAAACAAGGTTATGTTAAAAATGCAAAGCTCATGTCTGTCTTGAAGATTTTAAAAATGCATTCTTTTTTCATAAAACAAATGAATGTTTGTAAACGTGATGTCAACTCCTTCTTTATAGTAAGCCTTAAGGAGTCAGGATACCTTTGTAACAGTATGCTTTCGAACTAACCCATGCTTCAGCTAGGACTTTTAAGGGTTATAACGTGGCCTGGTTCACGGTTTAAGAAATAAAGGATAAAGGATCAAATTATTTGTACCCACCCGCTCTTCGTGATGTTCTCCAAACCTAAACTCAGTTGATCATGCGTTAGACCTTGCTTGAGTCTTTGCTTTGATGTTCCAATAATGGGTCAGATGTTGATGATTTCTTTTGAATAGGCAGTCATTTTTGCTTTGGTTGTGAGACCTCTTGCTTGATTTTTGTTATCCCTTTCTTTTTTGCCTGAACTGTTTCCTTTTTGGAATTACAGTCAGCGGGATGCCCCAGTTTGGTAAGTCTTCTTTATTGGTTTTGACTTTTTGGGCTTTTCATTTATGATTTTTTTTATCACGACTGCCTAACTTTATGATTGTAGGGAACCATCACTGTCTTTTGTTTTGTAAGGACTTTTTGGTGCCATTCGTTATGCACTTGGATCAACTGAGAGAACTACCCTGCCCCAGGTTATGATTATGGGTTTTGATTTTCGAAAATAAAAACTTCTACTTCTTTGGCTCAGAGGGGTTGACGAGGGATTATCTTCCTTATTACTCCAGTGTTTAGGAATTGAAACAATGCCTGTACTTCATAAGCGGGGTCTGTTCAAAAGCATACTGTAATGATCGCGGTATCGTTTTCGTCATCCTCCCTCAAGAGGCTTAGAATTTTAGATCAAGAGCTGACATCAGAAAAAATATGGAAATAATTTGCATTTAGTGAATACGAATATATTGTTTCAGAACAGACATATGCGATGCATTAATGAAATAACAATGTTTTAACAATGAGTAAATGTTTGAACAAAATAAAATTGCAACTCGAACATTCGAATGAACAAAAGTCTTTTCAGTCTTAGCCATGTTTTGGCAAGGGAGCAGTGATCACGTTGGGAGTTTCGGCGGGCTCGAACTCGATCTCTTTAGCATCGATCATGTTCTGAATCTTGTACTTCAGTGCCCAACAATCCTCAGTATCTTGCCCCGGGCTATCGGAATGATAAGCACATCTAGCTTCTGGATTATAGCTTGGAGAGGAGGTCTTGGGATTTGCCGGAGGGTTAATCACTGCAATCAGGTTCATCTTCAACATGTGCTGCAATGCTTGTGACCATGGCATGTTAATGTTGGTGAATTGCCTTTTAGGCCCGTCCGGCCTTTGCTGGTTTCCCTTTTGTGGTTGGCGGCGTGGTGCAGAACCAGAGATCATGACTGCCCCTGCATGTTGGTCACGACGACTCTTTTGGCTGTATGCAGCATTAGATTCCTTCTTTCCCGTGTAAGGCTTTTTATGAATATCAGAAGGTGTGGCCTCTTGAATTTTCCCACTCTTGATACCAGCTTCAATTCTTTCGCCAGTCAGGATGAGGTCGGTAAATCCAGCAGATGAGTTACCAATGAGGTGATTGAAGAATGGCCCGGATAGGGTCCCTAAGAACATATCAACGAGTTCCCGGTCAGTTAATGGAGGCTGCACCCTTCCAGCAAGGTCTCTCCATCTCTGCGCGTATTCCTTGAAACCTTCACTTGACCCCAACGACATACCCTGGAGTTGGGTACGTGTGGGAGCAAGGTCGGCATTGTACTGGTACTGCTTGTAGAATGCAGTGGCTAAGTCTTCCCAAGTACGGATGTTGGCTCCATTCAGTTGATAGAACCAGTCAAGCTGAGTCCCTGAAAGACTCTCTTGGAAGAAATGGATCCATAAGTTTTTGTCAGCTGTATAGGGTTGGATCCTCCTTGTGTAAGCCCTGAGATGCAATTTAGGACAGGATGCCCCGTCGTATTTAACAAAGGTAGGTGCCTTAAACTTGTGCGGGATCACTACCCCAGAAGACAGACCTAGATCCTCGAAGTCCAGGCCAGGCACTTTTTGTATCTCCATAGCACTTAGCCTGTCTTCCAACTGTTTGTACCTATCCTCAGTCGGAGGGTACTGTTCGTCGTTGAAATCTGTCTCATTGTCGGAGACCACCGGGCTGGGAATCCTTTCCTCTTGATGACTGCTTTTCCCCACAGATGGAGTTGTCCTCTCAGTTTGATCCTGCAGGGTATTCCTAGATCTGCGTCTAGGGCTGAACAAAACAATCCTCTTCTTCTTCTTTTCTTTCTTCAAGAGCAGAGCCTTTAGATCTTGCTGCCCCTGGGTCAAGTTCATGATCAGCCCTTGGAACTGGGCGTTCTGAGCCTGTAGGGCCTTGATAGTGTGCTCGGTTGAAGATTCAGGATTCATGACGAGACTGCTGAAATAAACAGCGAAGAAGGTAAGTAACCTGCAGAAAAAGGGTACCTGTTACGCAATGATATGTATGATATGCATGCAATGATTTCAAGGACCTCGCGGGATAAACAGAGAAATTGTTAGAGTTGAGAACCGGTAACTTGATTGAAGAAACTTCCTATTGCAGAAAATCCCTCTTCAAGGGTCAAAGGCTCACCATATCCAGTGGGTCATAGCCCCTGATAACCTTAGCCTGGGGATCATCCTTTAGGTGTCAAAGCTCACCATATCAAGTGGGTCATAGCCCCTGACAACCTGGTCTAGAGGAAAATAAATCTTCTTTGCCCCTTGCTGGGATAGTTGATTCATCATGACCTGCATCACAAGCCCTTGAGATCCTTGAAATGGGTTAGGACGTATGCAATGGTATGATGTCATGCTATGCATGGGGTGATATAGGTAAACCATGTTATGAGTCCCAATTAAGGACTATAAGCAAACCCTACAAGAAATTCAGTATACTTTGTTATGAGTCCCAATTAAGGACTATAAACAAAACCTGCAAGTAGTTAGTACACCTTGTTATAAGTCCCAATTAAGGACTATAAACAACCCTGCAAGAAATTTAGTACTCTGTTATGAGTCCCAGTTAAGGACTATAAACAAAACCTGCAAGAAATTTGGCAAACCCTGTTATGAGTCCCAGTTAAGGACTATAAACAAAACCTGCAAGTAGTTCATGTGTCAGCTAACAAGCATGCAAGTAGGCAAGTACAAAGGCACACAAGTCACACAAGAGAAACCCTTAGGGTTTAGGCCAGCATGGGGTCTGGGTAGTACCCTCTTGAAGTTGGTGGGTTCAACCTGTCCTAATCAAAGTAACCGGGTTCTAAGGTTCCCAATATCACAGGATTGCTTTCATTGTTCATCGTTTCGATTTAGCCACTGAACTGGCGACCGAAATATTCCAGGAAAGCAACCCTCTATTGAGCGTAGTATAGAGTATCAACCAACCTCGGACTGCACCAAGGTCAGTTATCTCACTACCCTAAAGAGGCCAAGATAGTTCAATTAAGGTTCCTAAGGTCTGTTGATGCTTCACGACACCACGCGGAGGCCCCGTACGCTCCTTGACTGAACTCAAGGGTTACCGGTACACACCAAAGTGCCACATCAACGTAGCAGACTGTTTCAACCATGTCGGTATACCCCGCACAGTTCCCTCACAACCTTGTTGCTACTTTCTAAGAAGGTACCCCCAGATCCGGGTTAGGATCTATAGAACTCCCAAGACAGTACCCACAATTTAAAGCACACAAGGAAAACAATTGAAAACACAGTTATGAATTAGCCCTAAGGTACACCTCACTTTAAGTTTTTCCCCAGCAGAGTCGCCAGTTCTGTGATCGGTGGATCTGGAACTGACTGTTTAACGCTGGTTCGCGAAATGTCGCGGAAGCAAGAGTCGCCACCGTCTTTTATTTTCTCCAATTGGAAAGGACAAAAGCACAGAAAAATTCCTTAAAGAGATCGCTCTCGGTTCGGGAGGTAGGTTATAGAAAGGGAAGGTGTTAGCACCCTTTCTATCCATGGTTATCCATGGGCTCTTAGATACTTGCTCATTTGTGTTTTCAAAATGGTTTGTTTGCTTTTCAATGTGGGTTTAAAAAAAGTTTCTTTGAAAAATTTCAGTTCGACTCGTACGTCAGAGTGTTTGAAAAATTTGCTTTGAAAGCTTTTGTTGGTGTGAAAAGTCTTTTTGAGTTTGTTTTGAGATTAGAGCAAGTATCCTTGAGAACCTACCTACCCTAAGGAATTTGTCTGTGTAAATGTCCTTAAAAGTAGTGCCATCCCACCATTGAGAGGTAGGTAGCACCACCGTTGGAGGTATTCGGGTCAATTCGAGTTTTAGGGACATGGTGATCACCGGAGCAATGGGAAGACACCTTAGAAGCTACCCTCATGCCAGGTTCCCGGATCATGAGGACTTACTAAGACGTCCTCTACTCGACGATCACCTTTCGAGGCAACAGTGAGGCGTACCCTAGGGGTGGTGTGTGCGATTTGTGTGTCGTTTTCATTGATAATTTGTCTTGTCATGTTTGTTGTGATCTACGCTTGAGTTTATTTTAAGTCCATACATTCTTTCATGCTTATTTAACAGTTAATATTTGCGATGAAAATAAATCTAAGGCTATTACAACTGGCGCGGGTCCACATCGCCAAAATTAAACCGGACCCGATTTGACGGAAAGATAAATAAAGTGAATGAAAGAAAAGTGCGAGAAGTTTAAGTTACATGGCTTCGGGACAGATACATAACCATTTAAGCGAAATAAAATAAATACGAAATTAAATAAATTAAACAATATGGGCGTTGGACCTTTTTGCAAAAATTAATGTCAATGAGGAATTAAAATTAAAAATTAAAAAGAAAATGTTTTTGGTGTTTTTATGTTTTTAGATTTAATAGAAAAAAGAGAATTAATTATAATGAAAATAAAATGTCAAACCCTACTTCTAATTATTTTTTAGTTGTTATGAAAATGTTAAATTAACCTAAATTAAACCTAAATTATTTATGTACAATTTAATTATGAAAATAAATAAATAATATTATGATGAAAAGAAAATTAAAAGGAACAAAATTTATTAAACCTAGTCCTATGTTTTTTAGATTTTTAGTTATTAAAAGAAATTAAAGTTGTAACCTAATTAATACTAAATTTATTTACAAGCATTTATTTAGAAAAATAATTAAAATAAGATAATTATTAAATTTTGTCTTTTCTGATTTTTTTTATGATGTTTTTGTATTTTGTTAAAAAAAACAATTAATTAAATTAAGACAACAAAACAAATAAACAAATAATTGAAAATAAAAGAAAACATAAAGAAAATTAAAAAAACATTGCAAACCAGGGGGGGGTTCAGGCCCCAGATGTGAGGTATGGACTTAGGAAATCAGGCCCAATGCTTCAGGTCCATTGACTTTTGCCACTAGCGTGTTAACCCTTTGACCAGGCTTATGATGTACATCCAATCTCAGCCTTTGATTGGAATTTGTTAGATACGTGGATGGACGGATGATGAAGGCATATGGTGAACCATAGCGCTGAAGTTGCATGGGAGCATTTTATGAAGAAAAATATGAAGGAAAGTAAGGACCTGGGTCTCGAACCCAGGTCATGTGGATTGCCAACACACCTAATTGCCACTGGACCATTACCACGCGTTTGTTAACTAAATATACAATGAATAATATAATACAAAACAATGCATCAGTGGCTAAAAGCGCGAAAAATTCAAATTATCCAACCAATGCACGCCACTTCATCGTCTTCCTCAAGATTTCGTTTTGCCTGAAAAATAGAGAAAGGTTAACGGGGGTTTTGAACCCCCTCAAAACAAGCCAAATTCCATAATAGCGATTAGGCCCTCATTGAACATAAATTAGGCGCGAGGGTTGTATATTGACCGTCCAATCGCGTTGATTTTTTTTATGGTACTGATGAGTCTCAATTTTACAGCATTATGAAATGCCCAAATCAAAGCTCGTGAAACCCTAGAACATAACCATGGCAAATCTGTATATGGCGCATGAAAACTCAATTAAACATGATGGTTAGTCTCAAAACATCATAAGGAACATGAATATACAATTAAAATGCAATGAGGATGCCTGGAAATCAAAATACGATCATGGACTTTTCTTGGTACAGTTTGAGTTCGTTTTACCAATTCTTTGCGTTTGAGTTGATGGTAGGGATTGGAATACGTTCAGGGATTGCCAAGGAAGCTATTGGACTAGGTTTTGTGCCCTGAAACACCCTGCAATATCGTTTTCAGTTTTGAAATTTTTTGATGATTTTTAAGTTTTGCAATCTGTTCTAGAGCGCAGCTTTCAGTCTAATGCAATTAGGTTTATGTTCCTGGTTATGTAGTGGATGAATTAGGTTAAAAAGATTGATCAAAATCCATTGCTTTTATTGTTTTCAATATTTGATTTCTTAAGAATCCTTTTCATATCTTTTCACATGGTTTTTGTATCAATTAGGTTTCAATCAAGCCAAATCTTTCCATAATTGGCTAAGCACGAAATATCAAGTCTAAAACATGTATAAAAAGATTCATTTGGTTCATTTAGATATTTTCCACATATTTAATTGATTTAATTGAATTAATATGAATAAAAATTCAAATAAATAAATAAAAAATGAGAAAATACTTCCCTTTGGGCCAAGTGGTCGTGCATATGTTTGGAATGATGAATCATGGAAGAAAAATGGGCCCATTAGCAATTTTGAATCATTTGCATCAATGTTGACTTTTCAAAATTCCTAAAAATTTCCCAACTTCCACAAGGCATAACTTGCTCAATTTTTAAGCTCTTCTCATGTTCTTGGACATTTTGGAAAGGTCTTTGAGTCCTCTAACCAATGCCTTTGGTCCCATGTCATTTTGATTTACCAATCTCAAGTTATGGCCTTTGACTTAAAGTCCCTTTTTGTTGACTTTTGAAAATGACCTATAATGTTGAAATTGATAACTTTTTGTGAGAGCATTTCTTGGACTTGAAGTATGAAGATGAGTTGTAGGAAATGTCTTTCTCTTCAAAATGAGCTTTGGATGGAATTTTTCTGATAATCCATGTGAAAGTTATGCCCTAGTCAATTTCAGTTGACTTTTTCAGCTGTCCAAATATAGTAACTTTTGCATCTTTGATGATTTCTGAGCCAAATTTTGAGAATCATGATCAAGCATTGATCAAATGATGTTTGTGGCTTCAAAATGATATGTTGACCAAAAATTTGAACTTTTGACTGTCAAATGACCATTTTGCCCCTACAGTTGACTGTAGTGCAATTTAAGGTTTTGACTGTGCAATTTTGAGCTGAATGCCTTGAAACTTGATATGAGGATGCTTGACCACATTTGTAGGCACATGAGACTTGATTGGGCCTTTGGAAACTTCCTTTTCTTGATCAGAACACAAACCCTAGTTTTGACTGTATAGGAGACAGTTGCACTGTGCAACCCTTGGGGCATTTTGTGACTTGGCTTGACAATTTCTTGAAGAATATGGGAGGGCAAATTTTGGGGTACAACAGTGTGCTATTTAAATTTTTTATTTATTTATCATGCCTTTTACAGCGCTTTTTATGGAAAAAGCGCTTTGATAGGGGGGTCTTTCCCAGCGCTTTTTCCATAAAAAGCGCTTTGATAGGGGTGCTATTTAATTTTTGTTTTTTTATTTATCATGGCTTTTACAACGCTTTTTATGGAAAAAGCGCTTTGATAGGGGGGTCTTTCACAGCGCTTTTTCCATAAAAAGCGCTTTGATAGGGGGTTTCTATTTAATTTTTTTTTATTTATCCTGCCTACGAAAGCGTTTTTTAGCCAAAAGCGCTTTCGTAGCTCATACAAATTTTTTAAAGTGAAACCTATAATTTGAGGTTCCCTGTGCG